TCGAGAATGCAGAACTTGTGTTTGGTTCCTGGCAGGCCTACTTTGGTGTGGGGGTGGGTACTGGCCTCCACTGTTCACTGTCCCATTTCCTGTCTCGTTGGTCCAGGTGGCTCTCCTTCCCTATGATGCATTGGTTTGGCCATTATCCTTCCCCGTAAGGGGAGGAGTCCACCTGTGGGCAGAAGGGCTTGTCTTGGCAGTGAGGTTGCTTTCCTTCTCTTCCTCTAGAGCCTTGTAAGAAGAGTTGGCCCAGGGCCATTGGTCTTGGGCAGATTTGGGTCTTTACTTGGCCAGGCATTGGGTGGCCAGAGCCAGGGAATTCCAGCTTCCCACCCTCCTGGAATCATGGAGGTTCTCTCTAGGGGCATCTGCCTGCGGTTGGGGCTTCCTGGCCCTGGATTTAGGCTGTCTGTGGCCACTTTAACCAGGTTTGGTTCTCCTTCCAGGGTTTCTGAACTTCACCATTTTCTTGATCCTGGCTTTGGCTTTTATTGAGACCCCTTCTTCATTCACAAGAACCGCAGATGTACGCTACCGCTCCCTGCCCTGGGAGCCACCCTGTGGCCTGACCGAGGGTGTGGAGGCGCTCTGCCTGCTAGTCTTCCTGGCTGATGTCTCTGTGAAGGTGAGATGGGTGGCTCCTGTGCCTTCCTCACACAGCTCCAGCCACCCTGGCCCTCTCAGCCCCTGACTGCTTCTCTCCTAGTTTATTTCTGCTGTTTCAGGCTGGCTGCCTCTCTTCTTGCCTTTGCACTTTGGCTGTCTGAGCAAAGGCCTGGGTTTTGCACCTGTCTGGGCCTTGGGACAGAGGTTGTCAGCTCTTCTCCCTCCCCAGAAAGGAAGCTGGGTCTGGGCTGTGCCTCTGGGGCCAGGCATCCTGGAGGGGTTCTTGGGGCAGCTGAGGGGCTGACCTTTGTGAGGGGAGACCCCATCCTTAAGAGAAGATTGGGTGGGTTCTCCTCATGGCCTTCCGTGCTGTCCCCAAAGGAAGGGGAGTGAGGTGTTATGTGGAGCATGTGGTAGGTGCGGCGTCTTGTCTTAGCACAGTGAGGCTGTTGCACGTCTGTGGGGACTGGGGTCTCTGGAATAGCTTGGAGCGTGACCTCCAAGGCACATTATGAGCCTGGGGGCCTTTAGTGATCTTTCCAAGTGAGGCCTCAGTGATAAGCTGTGGGTTCTCGCCAGGCTACGCGTTCTGTTTTTGTCAGGGATTCTAGCGCTGCCTTCCCAGGGGTGCCTGCATCCACATCCACATTGTTGGGCACCCGTGGCTGTGGCCCTGCTGTGGTGTCCGCCAGCCCTGCTGGCATGTGCCCTGTGGTCCTCAGTGGGGTTGTGTGCTGGATGCTGGGCACATGAGAGAGAGAGAGAGAGAGAGAGAGAGAGAGAGAGAGATCGATTGGTTGAGATTGGGCCCTAGAGAGTTTCTCATTTTTTTCAGCCCACAATGTGGCTGGTGGGTCTGAGGGTTTTAAGCAGAAACTGAAACTGGGGCAAGTTGTCACTGGGTAGTCTCAGGTGAGAGTGAGCACCTGTGTGAATCTGCAGGCCATGACCTCTGGGGGCCGTCTGATAATGAATAGTGGCAGGAGAGGGCAGAGCGGGCGGACCATCCCTGGAGGGCTGTGGCATGCCTACAAAGCAGGTCTGTCTTCTGGCCATTTATACTGCAGTCGCTGGCAGAGCAGATGGGAACCCCTTACCAAGAAAGAAACTGAGCCAGAGAGGCCCTGTGCGGTACCTGAAACTGCACAGTGGGTCGCTAGTGCTTCCTGACACTATTGGCGGACCCTCTGCTGTGCTACCTGCATCCTGTGTGTGTACACAAGTGTTCTCTATTGGTTGCAGGCCTACATCTGGTTCCCACTCACCCCTCAACTCTCCTTGTCTCTTGCAGGGCTACCTGGTTGGGCGTGCCCAGTTCCAGAAGAACCGGTGGCTGCTGGCCTACCTCATAGGGCTGATTGTGTCCCTGGTGGACTGGACTGTGTCTCTGAGCTTCGCTTGTCAGGAGGTGGGTGGTGTGGCGGCTCTGAGATGGTAGGAGCTCGGTGGAGTGTGGGGTGTGGATATAGCTGCCAGGCGAGTGGTAGGGTGAGGGCCTTGAGCTATCTACCATACCATCCACTTGCCTAGCACTGTCTAAATGGTAAAGCACCTTGGGCTTTTAGTAGCCAGAGTTAAAGAGAAAAGAGGCCTGGAGAAGGTCACAGTTCCCTAGGATGTCCCGTTGGTGATAGGAGGACCTGGGAGAAGTTCTGACCTCTTCTAATTCCCAACCTTTCATACTTAACTACTCACCTGGCTGGATCCCCATGAAAGCACTGCTCCAGAGCCTCACTGTGGCCAGCAGTCACTGAGCAGAGCTGTGAGAGGCTCTGCAGTAAGATGTGGGTGCTGACTTCAGCGTTGACTTCCCCCATACTTCGATACCTGGGTGGTGGTGGGCAGTTTGGTTTGGGGTCATCATACCTGTCAGCAAGTGTCAGGGGACATTTAGCAGAGAATTGAACAGAGGGGCTTACACAGGCACTGAGGAACCAGAAAACCAAATGGGAACCCAGTGGATCCCAGAGAGAAGGGAGCAAAGAGGAGAGGTGAGAGTTACTGACTCCTGGGAGACTAGGGAGGGCTGCAGGGATGGGCCCTGACCTCTGCCCTCAGGGAGGCTGCTGACAGCACAGGCTGGAAGTTGTAGGTGCTGCCAGTGGGGACACCATGGAGGGGAGGGAGTGAGGCCCACCTCTTAACCCCCAGGACCCTCTGAGGGCAGCACAGTGGAGTCTGAGCATATCTGGACTCATTTCCCCAGCCATTTGGCATCCGTTCCACCTCCTGTCTCCGTACACAGCAGTGTCCTGCCCTGTGTGATAAGACTCAGCTGTCCTCCCTACTAAGGAAGAGGCTCCGATCTTCTCCAGAACAGCGGGGAGGGTGGCCCACAGCTGCTGGTCCTGTGACATTCGCGGTGTCTGTCTCACTGGCTAGCACATACTCCGTACCTCGCAGGCTGTGCAGTAAGCCTGACCTCCACCAAGAATGCTTGTGTAAAGCTAGAAGGGGGCAGGCGGAGGAGAGGAGCTCACGGGATGCACCATTGCATGCCAACCCATGACAGGCTGGATAGATGCAGCCACAGATGGGGCCAGGCTGGCTCACCAACCTCCATAACTCCCTTCTGCCTGCTCCATCCCCGTACCTCCACAGCATCCCAGCTGTGCTGGGTTCCTCACCTGGTGCTGTGACCCAGATCTTCACTTGTGAGTGGCCAAGTCCTTGGGGACCCTGCCATTTTTCGTTTGGTAGGACTGGGTTTGAACTTAGGACATTGTGCTTGCAAAGCAGGTGTTCTACCTCTTGAGCCATACCTCCAGTCCGATTTTGCTCTGGTTATTTTGGAGATGGTATTGTAAACTATTGTCCAGGCTGGCCTCGAACCGTGATCTTCCTGATCAGCTGGGATTATAGGCATGAGCCACTGACACCCAGCTACCCTCCCCTTCTCTGGAGCCTTGCCTGTGCTAGGCAAGTGCTCTACCACTGAACTGTACCCCTAACCTGATGGCTGGAGTTTGAGGTGCCCCAAAGGACCCTGACATGGACCACCCTGCAGCTCTGAGTGGCAGTGTCTGTCTGTCCTCGGTAACTGGGTTACTTACCCCCCCACATACCCTCCCATTGGACAAGTTGTGGTTCCACCTGGTGGGAACTCTCACTCTTGGGAACAGATGCTTCCAGAGCACCATGGTCCAGAATAGTGTGGTGGTGAGTGGAAAGGTTACTCCCACTTCCTGGGTTCCAGGAATCCCACTGGGGGAGCCAGCCCCTCCAGTGGCCTGTGCTGTGCCTGTAACCCCAGCCCCATGTTGCCCTATCAGTCTGGCTGCTTGTGTGGGAGACGCTGCTCCACCTACAGCATGCGTGCTGCTTTCAGGTGGCAGGGACTGCCCACCTATGTGTTCCCAAGTCATGGGCAGGGCAGCAGAGTGTGGTCTGCATGCCTGACTGTCCAGGGACAGACCAGTGTCTGGCAGGGGGGCAGGCCCGGTGCCATTCGTCTCAGCAGGGGCCGCATGGGTGTGGTAGGGGGTGTGTAGTGTCGGCCTCATGTGGAGCCTCCATTCCTGGTTCGATGGCCACTTGGTTTGTGGGTGAGGGAAGAGGCTCAGGCATCCACAGGACCTGCAGAGTGATACCCTGTACTAAACATTCCCAGGGCTTGAGCTCTGGATGCCCCGTGCCTGCTTGGAGGGGCCCTTCCACCGCCGTCCTCTTAGGCCTCCTTGTTCTCAGTCTTCTAGCCCTGTTCTTGCCACGTCTGTCCATCCCTGCCCCTCTGTTCCTGTTGAATTGTGTCTTCTCAATCCTCCCTCACCCCGTACCATCTTGGGGAGGTCTTGCTCAAGTGAGGCCATGGCACTACACAAGGTCTGTTTTGGTTGGGCCAGTCTGTCACTCAGAATATTTGCAAATCAGCCCAAGCTGCTGCCACGGCCGGCTACTTGGTCATGCCGTGCTCCATGTAGATGAGGTGACTCGTGGGGAGACTGGGCACGCTGGCCTGCTTGAACCTGATCCATCTCATGTTCGTCTTTCCCTGATGGAGTCCTGCTACCCTTGTGGTTGGGAGTTGGAAAATACAAGGGTTGCTTGTCACTGATGGACCATGGCCTCTCGTTGTGTCTCTGCTGTTGCTGGTTGGATGTGGCTTTTTCTCTAGGGCTCTGATTCTTAATGTGGCACTGTGGCCAGTTCTTGAAGGAGGGTCAACTGGATATGCCTTTCTATCCTCAAAAAGGCCTGGTGGCCCTGTGACTGTGGCACTGCTGGGCCCGAGCTGCTGGACAGACCCTCACTGTGGGCATTGGAGTGCTGACTGACTGCAGAGGGAACTGCCAAGCATTTAGCTCCCACTTCGTCAGTTGGAAGCGCTGGAAGGACCCTTTTAAGACCTGCTTCTACCCATGGGCAGAGCATGAGGGGTTCTGGAGAGCTGGGACGCTGACCTCTCAGCTGCAGGGCCCAAGCAGTTGCCTGGTCACTTCGGGTTCCTTTGGCCTTCTCAGTCCAGTGCCATTTTTAGTTCAGTGCCTGGTGCTGGGACCTTCTGGGGACAATAAGCATAGCCCAGGAGGGTTAGTGAGTTCTTAGAAGGGTCACTCTAGAGGGCCTGTTCTGAGTGGTGCTTTCAGGCCTTTGTCCTGGGGGGCATAGTTTCTGGAGTAAGAGACAGGCTGCCAGAGTACAGGAGCACCAGACATGGAATATAATTCCAAAGTGTGATAGGATAGGTGCCATGGCAGAGGAACTCTGGGCAGTACTAGAGGGGTGGCCTCAGGTCAAGACAGCCTGCTAAGATGGGCAGGCCAGTTCTGTGACTGGCAGGGTCCTCTCTGCCACTAGAGTGCTGGGGTCCCTGGCACTTTTGCCCCTGCGATGGAGAGTGTGGCGTGGCACTGAGAACAGTTTTGAGCCTAGCATTCTCTCCTGGGTGTCTTCCAGCCCCTGCGTGTCCGCCGGTTGCTCCGCCCCTTCTTCCTGCTGCAGAACTCCTCCATGATGAAGAAGACCCTGAAGTGCATCAGGTGGTCGCTGCCGGAAATGGCCAGGTTGGGCCCTTTGTCTGGTGCCCCGGGAACTCCCATTTAAGTGTCTATGTGTTCAAGGTTGCCTTTGTCCTATCACAAGAAGAGCACTCTGCCAGGGCCTGGGCAGGCTGTCCTCAAGGCCCTTGGCCCGAGCACTTACTTGTTCTCTGGGGAGAGGAAGCAACAGCTGTGCCTGGCTCTAACCACCGGCCCCCGTAGCCAAGCCTGCGGGCAGGACTGTGTCCCTGGGCCTATCCTCCCCTGGGTGTGTGGCCTGCACTTTGCTAGGCTGAGTGCTGCCTTTTCCCCAGCGTCGGGCTGCTGCTGACCATCCACCTGTGCCTCTTCACCATGCTCGGCATGCTGCTGTTTGCCGTCGGCGAGAAGGTGAGGTGACCACTGTGGCCAGGTGTGCCATGCCACTGTCTCCCGGGCCCCAGCACAGCCCCAGCAGAGTTGTTGGGTGGGAAGTCATTAGGTTGGCAGGGAGTACAGACCCAGGATGGTGGTGGTTCACCTGGAGCCAGGGGCTGTCTTCAAATGGTTGGTGCTCCTGCTGTGCATTGCCAGGGCCCTGCCATATCCTGTAGCCACCTCAGTCTCACCACTGTCCCTCTGTGCTGGCTTCCTCTTTCTCCCCCCTAGGCGTTCACTAAGGGTGGCTTGAAGGTTCCTCCCCAGCCCTGTCCAGGTTCCAACATAGGATTGTCCTGTTCCTCCATCCACACCTCCCCACCTCCCTTCTCCATACCCTCCCTGACTGTGGGCCTCGTGGGGAAGCCCTGCTGCATCCCCTCTCCAGCCCACTATTCTGGGTCCTTCTGCCTTGCCCAACCTAGCCAAGGCGTGAGTCATCTCCACCTGTCACCTCACCTGGGTGCCAGCCTTGGGCTGCCCCAACTTCTGGTTCTGTTTGTCTGTCCTCATGTCCTGGCCAGGGTCCCTGTCTTCCTCTGGCCTGGGACATCCTGTGTTTCTGCTTCTTTGTCCTGGGATGTGGCCGCTGTGCTGCTAGGGTGTCTTTGTGAGTTTGAGGTGACAGGGTTTGGGCTGTGTCCCCTGGAAGGGGAAGATAGGAAGACAGGATAGTACCTTCTAACCCTGGGAAGAGGGAGGGTAGCCCTGGAGGGAGCTGAACCCCCACGTATGGCTATATTCCTGGGTCTGTCTCTCTGTGTATATCTGTGTGTCTGTCTTCATGTCTGCATGCATGTCTGTGTGTCTGAGTGTGTCTGTATAGGTAACACTGTTTGGGTGTGTCTATGTATATTTTGTCTTTGTTTCTATGTGGGTGTCTGCATTTCTGTGTGTCCTGGGCGTATCTGTGTGCATGCCTAATGTGTACGGTGGTGTGTCTGTGTCAAGAGTATCTGTGTGCATATTTTCACATCTGTATTTGTGTGTCTCTGTGTGTGTGTATGCCTGTATATGCATATCACATTGTGTGTGCATTTATGTATGCATTTGCCTGTGTGTTATCTCTCTGTATATATCCACAGAAGGTGGGGCAGTCGCTTGGCTGCTAAGGTGGGTTCTGTAATAGACCCTCAGGACCTCTGTGTGACTTTCCCATGATGGTGTCCTGAGGAGCCAGGAGTGTTAGCTCCTACTCCAGGCTTGGGTTTCTGCTTCGTGGAGGGGAACTGGACTTACCGTGTAGCTGTGGGGAGATGGTATCCGTCATGGTCTCTGTGAGAGCCCTGTTCTCTGCTCTTGGCTGGGAGATGGGCCAGGCGAGGTGCCCACCTGTCTGGGGAGGCCTCTCATCCCCGTGGGCCTCAGTGTCCTTGTCTGTAAGCTTGTGCAGGTGCTAGGACCTTCCTTTGTCAGCATGAACTCTGGCTTCAGGGAAAGGGAAGCTCAGCTCAATGGGTGGGGATTGTTTCAGGTCCAAGAGTGCCGGGCTCAGCTCTCCCACCCTGCCATCCCTGGGTGTGTCCATGGGGGATGGCTTGTCCTTCACACCCTTCAGCTGAGTGATTTCTCTGAAAGCGTTTGCTCTCCTTTTCTATGCCGGCCCCGCTGAGGCCCAGTGGGGCTGCCTCAGCCTCCCCCAGCAGCATCCTGCTCTGCTGTGGCTCTGAACCTGACAGGTTTCCCACCCTGTAACTCTCATGACCACCATGTCCCCCACCTCCAGAGGCTTGTGGCATTTGTTATTGACAATCATGGAGTCGTTGGGACCCCATGGCCTGGCAGATAGGTGGCAGTGCCGTTTTGTAGATGAGGACAAGCAGGTCCTGATGTTAATGATGTACCTAGACCTTGTGCAGGGAGGAGCCCCTCAGGGAGGGCAGTGTGCAGGGAGGAGTGGCCACAGCAGGTGGATACCACCGAGGCTGATGGCAGAGTTGGCCCTGTTTGGCAGCTGAGCACTTGGCTTGATGTGATCCTAGGCGATCAGCTGATTTGTGAGTGTGTGACTGCCACACTAGTCACACAGCCAGGCTTGTGGGGTTCATTGTCTACCTGCTAGGGGCCAGGCTTGGTAGGTACAGGGGACCCCAGGGAAAATCCTGGGCCCAGAGAATTGAGTGGGGCTACTTCTTGGCACACCTACTGCATGGGTTTGCTCTCTTCCCCCAGGAAGGATAGAGGATGGGGAGTCGTGGTAGAGATGCCCCCTGCGGACAGCTCTGATAAGCCACAGCTGTGGATACGGCCTTTGGGTATCATGGTGGGCTTGGGCCCCTCAACCTCTGAAGCAGTGGGAGTTCTCCCTAGCGTTCCATCCAGAGTGCCCACAGCCCTCTCCCTGGCGGCAGCCTACTAGGGACCCTGCCTGCCAGCCAGGGCCTCTGTCCCTCCTGGCCCAGAGTTTTGACCTTACTGTGCATACAGCACACAGCAGAGTCAGGCTCCAAGTAGGCTGTTGACCACCTGGCTGTGATGCTTAGCTGGGCTGGCCTGGGTTCTTGCTGTGGTTCTGGACTGGCCACCTCTGAGGGTGGATGCCTGTTCCTGTGCCTGAAGGCCCTGGCTTGTGTCCTGTGTGGCTGTGAGCTTGGAGCTTGCTGGGAAATGATGGGGAGATGTAGGTCGAGGTTGCTGGCCCCTCAATGGACGGTCCTGACTGTTGGGTCTGGGACCTGGGGCTGGGCTGGCTTAAAGCATTAGCTAGGGCGTGGAGGCCCACGTTTGCCTAGAGCTTTGTCTGCCCTCAGGATGAAGAGCAGGATAAGGAGAGGCTGGCCTACTTCAGGAACCTGCCAGAGGCGCTGACCTCCCTCCTGGTGCTGCTGACCACTGCCAACAACCCTGATGGTGTGTGATATAGGCAGGGTCTGGAAGGGCAGTGCCTGCTGCGGGGGTTGGTTTGGGCTATGAGCCTGGGAGCCCTGGGAACATCGAGGCCTTTTCATCAACTGGGAGGGTGACTTTGGACCCTCTCCTCCCTTTTCTTTCTCTTGTTTTTCCCTCGTTTCCCTTGTTCCTTTTCTTTCCATCTCACTCCTTTGCCTTCTTCCTCCCTCCCTCCTTTCTTGGCTTTTTTTGCCGTGTCTCCTTACTCGGAGAAGCTGAAAGTGAACCGTGTTCTATGTGGTGACGTGGTGGTCAGTGGTCCCTCTGGTGGCCTTTTTGGGGCCAACCCCTTTCCCTGCCGCCGGCCAGACCTGGTTGTGAGGTGCGTGCTGCTCGGGAACGTTGTGTGTGAGACCCTGGGGACCGGGTGCTGATGGGTTCCCCAAGTGCTCGGGAGTGGGCTGTGGCCAGGACAGGAGGCTGTAGTTCTCCTGGGTTGGCATGGCCTGGCCATCACGATTGTGTCCTTTCTTCATGGGCTCAGGGATGCTCACAGCCTTGGAGACCTTCCCTGAGGGCAGCTGGGATTCCTGCTCCAGGGAGAGCTGTGTTGATCTGAGTACTGTCCCCACCTTCCTGTGACTTGTAGCAGGACACTGCAGGGAGAGCTGGATGGTTGTGGCATGGCCACAGGGAGGCCTCTCTCCCAGGGACCAGCGTCTCCATGGTGGGTGGGGTGGGAGGGTGGTGAGCGCCCACTCTGGGTGCGTGAGGCTGTCTCCACAGAGCCCCTGTGTGCAGGAGACGTGTGGTGTAGGGTCATGGAGGAAATGGGACAGGTGCGAGGCTGTGAACAGTCTGACTTTTTCTCCTTTCCTCTGTTTCAGTGATGATTCCTGCGTATTCCAAGAACCGAGCCTATGCCATCTTCTTTATAGTGTTCACCTTGATAGGTGAGTGTGGCTAGGTCTGTGCAGTCACTGGGCCAGGAGTCATCTTGGGGGGACAGCATCCCAATGCTCAGATAGATGTACACTGGTCCCCACCCCTTTGCTTTCCTCACCTTGCCCCTATAACTTCATCTCAACTGCAGCACCCTGTAACTTCACCTCAGCCTGTCCCCTACCCTAGAACTTCACCTTGACCTGACCCCCACTGTGAAACAGCCTTGGCATGACCCCTTCCCCTGATGGCTTGTCTGTGGCCACACGCCCTGTACCTTCTCCCACCATGGCCAGGTGGCCTGCTGGTGTCCCGTTGACGGATACGGATGTGGAGGCCTGGAGGCCGCGCTGTGTCCTGCTGCGTGGCGGGAATCGAGTGCTGACTGTGGTTGCTCTTCCAGCCTTCCTTGACATCATGCTGGCTTTGCTGTGCCAGTTGACCCTTGGCCCCAGGGATGGTCTTGAGAACTTGCTGTCCCTGGCTGTGCCATGCCCACCTGTGACTGAGGCTTCCCCTGCAGGAAGCCTGTTTCTGATGAATCTGCTGACGGCCATCGTCTACAATCAGTTCCGTGGCTATCTGATGGTGAGCCGTGCTGCTTGCCTGCAGGGCTGTGCCCACAGTGGACCCTGGAGACCAAGCAGGCAGGACCCAAGCCTGCCAGAGTGTGGCCCCCAGCCTTGCCCACCGGGCTCTGGAGAGGGCAGGGAGTGGGGTCGTTGCCTTTGTGAATGAGCCGAGATAGACCCTGTGTCACTGCTTTGTGTTATTTGAGGTTCCAGGGTTTATTGACACGGCTGCACAGGGTCCTCTCCTGCCCCACCCGCTGCCCCACAGACCCCTAGGGGAGGCTGCCAGATTGCAGCTTCCAGGGTGACTGATCGGCACCCTCTTGTGGGGAGTTAGGGGAAAATGCAGGTCTTGGTGGGTTGTGCAGTGAGCTGTGGTCAACTCCAGTCCCTGCTGGGCCTTAGGCACCCTCCTTTGAGGACTGTCCCCTGCAGTCTGGCCATCTGCCGATGCTCTAAGGTTGAGGGACTGCTCCCCAGGCCGTGGACCATGCCCATTTCCTGGGGCAGGGAGGCCGGGATGGGACTCCTGACGGGAGCAGCACGTAGCCCTGAGAGCCTCCTCCTTGCAGAAGTCTCTGCAGACCTCACTGTCACGGCGGCGGCTGGGGACCCGCGCTGCCTTCGAAGTCCTCTCCTCTATGGCAGAGAAGGACAGAGCTACCTCTGAGGCGTGAGTGCTGGGCTGGGCCTCTTTCCCTGGGGAGGTGGGGGTTGTGGCTGCCCAAGAGGTGGACCTGGTGCCGGGCTTAGTATTCCATTGGGAATTGTGAAAACTGGTTCCGTGATTCTTGCTTCCGAGTTGACTTGTGGCTGGGTCAGGCATTCACTTTGCACGTGAGCGGAGAGATGAGGGCAGAGAGCCTGAGGGTGTGGCTGGAGAGGTTCTGATCTCCGCTGCTCGGTGGCAGCGGGGTCTGCTTGCCTCTTTTCAAGGAGACAGCAGTGTCTCCTGGAGAATCTTGGAAGATGAGGACTGTAAAAGTTCTGTGGCACCAACTGGTGGTAAACACCCATGGATTGAGGTGCTTTGCACAGCCAGAAGGATGGATGTGTGGCTAAGCACGGGCTGGAGGATGGGCAGTGCTGGCCTACTCATGGGGTGGGGTTTCTTTTCCGCAGAGTTGGAGTGAATCCCCAGAAACTCCTGCAGGTGCTTCAGAGAGCCGAGCTGGGCAGCTCCCACAAACAGGCCATCGTGGAGGTAGCTGGTCCCCTGATTCCACCCCAGCTTTTGGGCTTCTGGGAGTCATGGGCAGCAACTCCTTTCAGGATGGGGTGTGGGTCGGTCAGCATGGCGCTTCCAGACTGTGGGGATGGGCAGGGTCAGGCCATGTACTGTCCCTGGCTGACCCACCCTCCTTTCTGCAGAAGGTGTACTCCCATGGCAGCACGCTGCTGTTGGCTGACGAGTTCCAGAAACTCTTCGATGAGATTGATAAAACTGTGATTAAAGAGGTAATTGGGACTGGCCTGTACCACCTGCCAGCCTGGGCTGCTGGGACCATCTACTTTCCATTGTCATTGATCAACTGGGGACTCTTCTAATGACCAGTGCCAGGATTCACCTACCCAGGGATCCTGGCCCCTTGGATGGATGGTGGGACTGGAGATCCTTTGGCTTTTTGAAAGTGGGGTGATTTTATTGACCTGGAGATATTCACCAGCCCTGGGAAGTGGCCTGGGCCACGCCTGGCACAGAGGAACCTTCCACGTGGGTTTCTCCATCTCCATGACCATCTTATCTTCCTGGAGGCCCCTCTGGGAGATCTAGATGCTGGCCCTCTCCACGGCCATGGCCTTTGCCTTTGGTCCTTGGCAGTGATGTGCCTAGTCCCTGCAGGGCCTCAGCCACCCGCTTGGTACTGTTCAGGCTGCAGCTGTCTGTGTTTTCCTGTGTGGGTTTCTGGAGGGGGTGGAGATACCCACAAGCACTGGGGTGTCCTTGGCAGTCTGTGGGGGCAGAAGAGGGGCTGCCAGTCCAGCCACTCAGCCTTGAGAGGCCCAAGCAGAATCCTGAACAGGGATGGGGGCACAGAGATGGAGTCAGATGTGTTCTGCTGGTCAGACTCCTGCTAATCCCATGTCACTGCTGTGTGACGCATTGGCTCAGGCTGCCGAACCATGCACCACACATGGGTGATTTTGGCAGCAGGCATTTACTGTCATATCCTGGAGGCCGCAGGTCCCAGATTGAGGTGTCGCAGGGCTGGCTCCTGAAGGCGCTTTCCATACTTGCATTCAGGGTCTTCTCTGTGTCCTCACATGGTTGTCCTCTGGCTGTCTGTGCCCTGATCTCTCATCAGGACACAGTGCTGTGGATTAAGAACCTACCCCAAAGGCCTCATTTTCACTCGATCACTTCTTGAAAGGCCCTATCTATAAGTACACTCACAGTCTGAAGTGCTGGAGGCAAGGCGTTAACATAGGAATTTTGTCTGTGAGCTACTCTGGCCTTCATTATCGCCCTCCACATCCTGCTCAAGGAGGTTTTCTTTAAAGCAGGTCTTTAATGGAGGTTTCCCTCAGGTCTGTCCAGGCCATGTGGAACCAGGCCCTGAGAGGCCTCTGTCTGTCCTGTTAAGTCCCTTCTAGAGCAGCACTCCTTAGCATATGGCTCCCCACAGCCCTGAGGCACAGGGAGGTAGTGCTGGTATTAGACTCTGCTGGGGGCCAGGTGGCACTGAAGTACATTCGGAATTGGGGGAACACTAAGTGCGGGCTTTGCAGAGACTGGAGGTAGCCTCACATGACAGGAGGCAAAAGCACTGCTGTGTGGTGGCTTATGCTTGTCTTCCAGGTGCAGACAGACCCAGATAGGAGAGCTAGGTCCCATCAAGGGTTTTGATGCCCCAGGGTCTCTTCCAGGGTTCCTGCTGGGCTTCCCAGACTCCCTAGGCCACTCCCTGCTGACCTGTGGGAAGCCTGGAGTGGTGGCTGTCAGAGTCTACTCTTCCTGTGTCAGGATCTGATGCTGGCTGCACAGAGGTGCTACCTCCCACAATGCTGCAGGGGAGGATAGAGGATATATGGGTTGCGTCAGGACCCAGGGGAGTGGGTTCAGGCCTAGGACAGGGCTGGGGAAGGCCCAGCACCTGAGAGCCACATCCATGCTCAGGCCTCACTTTTCCCTGCTGTCTGTGCTTTGCAGCTTGTGGGAGAAGCTCTCTCCCCGTGGTGCCCTGACAAAGTCTGGAACCAGGATTGAGGTGGAAGTTTGGGGTTCAGAGGTTTTGGGAGTTGTGCATCTTTCTCTCAAGTGCTGAGCACGGGGGGGCGGGGGGAGGGTGTATTTCACTTTCAAGGTGTGGATCTTCAAGGGGCAGGCTGCGGTTTTGGATGCACATACCGTGTGACATGGCAGCCCGGCTTACGCTATCAGTGGACTTTCTCCTCTCCGGGTGTGGAGGCTGCTGTGGTGAGCCTCTGTGCGAAACTTTTTGTTTGGGATTGTTTCCTTGGGCTAGACAGATAGGCAGTGAGGCAGGAAAGAGCTGACTCAGAATTTCAGGCAGCGCTGCCGGCTGCAGCAGGTTCTGAGTGTGAGTTCCCTTCCCAGCACCCACCGAGGCCCCAGTACCAGTCTCCGTTTCTGCAGAGTGCCCAGTTCCTCTTCGGCCACTGTTACTTTGACTACCTGGGGAACCTCATCACCCTGGGAAACCTCGTGTCCATTTGTGTGAGTGTGGGCTTGCCTGTGTTGCCGTGGGAGGTCCCACCTTTCCCGTTCCCTGTTCCTGGTGACGGCGTGTCCCACAGCTGTGGCCTTCCCACCCCAGAGCCGTGGCCTGCCTGCCTGGTTAGCCTCCCCCGACCTGCTCTGGCTTTGTAGGTGTTCCTGGTGCTAGACTCAGACCTGCCACCTGAGGCTCGTGATGACTTTGTCCTGGGGGTGAGTTCTGGGGCCCCAGCCTGTCAGGTTGGCAGCTCGGCCTGGGGATAAGAAGTGAGGAGGAGCAGGAGGGTAGAGGCAGGATGGCCCAGTGAAGAGCTCAGCATCTCCCGTGGGATGGTGTTCAAGGGGTGGGAGAGGCTGAGGACAAGGTGACTTCTACAGGCCCAGGCTGAGTGGGGCAGGCCGCTGAGGAGGCCTCGGGGCAGCGGTGTGACCATTGGGGTCTTCTGGCTGGTATCAGGACTTGAGTTTTGTCTTGACTGTTTCATGGCCTTTAAGAAAAAAAAAAAAAGGGAGATGGTGGCGGGGGGGCAAGGGGGAGAAATGACCCAAACAATGTATGCACATGTGAATAAATGAAAAATAAAAAAAAATTTGAACTCTTTATCTAATTTAAAGAGATCTTGTCAGATTAGAGATGAAATGCTTTCATTTTGAATTTTAAGCAACGCCATGCTGCCACTCCCAAAAGATCTGCTCCCACCTTAAAGGTTGTCTTTAAAATTTACTGAAAATACTATGAAAGATACTAAGTTGAGAAAGCTATAAGATTTCCCTAGTTATGTAAGAAAAGGCTCGGCTTGTCAAATTAAAAAATGATACCTCATGTCACATATATTAAATGTAGGGAAAGACGTTTCATAGCACTGGACCTTCCTGTTTAAAGAGAATGACATTTTTTCTTTTCTTTTTTTTGGTGGGACTGGGGTTTGAACTCAGGGATGCATGCTTACAATGCAGGCGCTCTATCTCTTGAACCACAACTCCAGTCCATTTTGCTCTGGTTATTTTGGAGATGGAATCTCAATAAACTTATTTGTCTGGGCTGGCCTTGAACCTTGTTCCTTCCAATCTCAGCCTCCCAGGTAGCTAAGATTACAGGTGTGAACCATTGGTGCCCGGCTACATTTTATTTTCTTGTGTTGAGAACACAAGAATGAGGTCTAAAGGGCTCTGGCTCCTCTCAGTGAATCACGTGTTGCAGGGCTGTTTTCAGTCCTGATGAATGTCAGGTCAGATACAGCCGGCCTGGGAGTCGTCTTTCTTAGTGGTGGCTGATTGTTGGGGCCAGACTTTGTCAGATGGACCCCCTTGGGACCTGTGTTTGAGCCTGTCTTGGGGTGACTTTGCAGGAATTGCCCCTTTATGCCCTTTCACAGTTGTCCCTCTTCTGGGTCAGGAGGGTTCTTTCTTCCTGCCTTCAGCAGCCACTTCTATGTGCAGTGACGCTCACAGTGCTGGTGCAGAATGAGTAGGATGTAGGCTGCACCCCTAGAGGGTGACTCTCCCTCCTCCCCACGGGTCTGTCCTATGAAGGTCGGGGAGGTCCCATGCCATCCCTTTCAAGGAGGAGCTATTGGATATTTTACCAACTGGTTGAGGGCTCCGTGAGGGGGCCCTGCTGAGTTGTTGCCCCAGAGGGGCTGGGTGGGATCCATCCAGTGTGTAGTGTTAGGTTGCCCTGTTGTCCAGAGAGGGCTGGTTGCCAATGCAGATGTGGGGCATCTGGGTAGGTTCCCGAGGAGAGGGCAGAGCAGAAAGCAGGGGACTGGGGATGCCCTGACCATGAGGGACAGGGCTCTGGGAGAGCAAAGGAGAGAGAGGGGCAATGTGACTGCTGAGACTCAATGCTCTAGGGCCCAGGAGCTGGGTTGGCCATGGTTGAGGCCAGGTCTAACACCGACACCTCTTCTGCCTTTTCTGCCCCTTCAGATTCTCAACTGTGTCTTCATCCTGTACTACCTGCTGGAGCTGCTCCTCAAGGTGTTTGCCCTGGGCCTGCGTGGATATCTGTCCTATCTCAGCAACGTGTTTGACGGCCTCCTCACCATCGTCCTGCTGGTAGAGTTCCCGCAGGCCAGGACTGGCTGGGTGGTTCTGTGGACTTGGCCTGTGGCTCTGCACGAGCTCCCTTTCAGGTGTCATAGAGGGCTGGGTAGCTGGAGGAAGTGGGCTCCTGACTTGAGGGACAAGGGCTGGTTTCACCCCAGCTGAGTTACTTGGCTGAGTTACTTGGCCATGGGCTTGGGTTGCCACTTCTGACCCTGAGGGAACTACAGCTGTCACCAGCCAACCCAGTCCTGGGCACAGCCTCTGGTGCCACCAGTTCAGTGTGGCTTTGTAGTGGGCGAATGAGGGCCAGGGAAATAGTGTGCTTCCTTTCCACAGTTGCTAGGATCAGGGCTCACACTCGTTGTGTCCCTGCAGAGGCCCTGGACTGACAGTTACTGGCACTGAGCAATCACCCTGGTCCCTCTGGGAGCATGAGTGGAGAGACCTTGAGCTGGGCCCTTTGATCCTAACTGCATGGCTTCTCCCATCCCTGATTGCTGAGGCCAGAGTGTGCCAGTTGAGGGAGATCCCACGTGGATTCAGCCTATGAGGACAGGAATGAGCTGTGATGTCTCCAGAAGCCCCTTGAGGGTTGACAGGAGCTTTGAAATGTCCTGGAAGCCACTGGAGTTAGCATTGTTATGCAGTGCCTTCTTTCCTTTTGTACTAAAGGTTTTGGAGATTTCCACTCTGGCCATGTATGGATTCCCACACCCTGGCTGGTATGTGCCTGAGGAGACCTGGGGGTGATGGAGTGCTGGGGCTGGGTGGGCGTCGCTCAGGCTGTTGAACTGTGGGCCAGGCCTACTCAGCATAGAGGGTGCAGTAGCAGAGCCCCTGTTGGCTCAGGCAAGTCCCCTCTGAAGCGCTGCTGCCCCCAGTGGCCATGGTGAGCAGTGGCTGTGTTCCCCTCTGAGGTGCCCTCCAGCAACAGCAGGCTCCCTTCTGACAGATGTTCTGGGGACCCAATTCAGGTTTGAGGGACCTGTAGTCACTGGTGTTGGCAGGCCCCCTCTGCTGGTGGGAAGGGCCTGGCGTGTGACCTTGGGTTGTTGCCTCCCACTCTGGAATCCCTTTACTTCCCGTAGAATGGCATACCTGGCTCAGGCTTATACATGTTGAGATATTGGGTGCTTTTTGAGTCCCACCGACCCTTACTCTGGCCATGCAGAGGGATGCCTGGGGACCCCCAGGTCCCCTGGCCTGGCTGTTGAGGCTGCCTCATTCCAGCATCCGCAGCTATTGGGTTGGCACCACTAGACTTCTGTGCACCACAGCCAGGGCCCAGAGCCCAGGTACAGGGCAGGGCAGGCACACACACACTAACCTTGGGCTGTCTCTTCGACACCTGTGCTGCTTTTGTCTCAGAGTGGAGTAGCTGGGGGATGCTGGAGAGGAGAGGGTGGAGGACCCAAGCCTTACCTTTAGAGTCTCCTGTAGGGAGCTTGCCTGGACTTAGATGGGGCTGACGGGCTGTGTGAAAGGCCCTTGGTGGTGACACCATGTTGCTTTGCACCACAGGGCTTGTGCCCGCATGTCTAATGTGTGCTGGCTCCTCCTGTGCTTTTTTGTCTCATTACCTTGGGAGTCTTGGAGGTAATGGTCTGAGTGAGAATGGTTTACATCTAAACAGGAACAAGAAACCATGGGGATGGCAGTGACACAGTCAGGACGGGGGTATGGGGGCCAGAGATGGGAACAGAGGCAGAGGTCAGGTCTGAGATACAGGGTCAGGGGATAGGCCTCTCAGTTCTGCTGGGACCTGAGCTCAGCAAGCCCAGGATCTGCATGGCGTCCTTGGTAAGTGGGGTCTTCCAGCCCTAACTCTGGGACTGTGCTGGGGGTATGTGGCTGTGATGGGGGCTTGCCCTGGGCAGTGGGTGTGAGTTGAGAGCGCTGTCCTCTGCCATGTGTGAGCTTCTGCCTGGTGTGTCCATACAGTGACCTCCAGGGGCACCCTGTTATGTCTCTGTGCCTCTCTCTGGCAACCCCATCTTCTCATTCACTCCCGCTGGCCTCCGGTCTCCCCAGGAAGCCAGGCAAGCTGGGCCTGCTGTCACTGTGGGACATGACGCGGCTAGTGAGCATGCTCATCGTGTTCCGGTTCCTCCGAATTATCCCCAGTGTGAAGGTGAGCTGGCACTGAGCCTCAGTCCCCACCCCGCCCTGTGCTCTGCCCCTCTGCTGTGCTTCAGAACAGTACGTTGCTCTAGGGCGGGTGGGGCTGGGGTGGGGACCGAGGACCAGCCCATCACCTTGGACCCCTCTGGGCACTCCCTCAGCCCTGTACTCCGTCCCTGAGACACTGGGGTGGGACTGTTAGAAGTGGGAGACCAGGCCTGCGTTCTGGGTGAGGAGGGCAAGGACAGGAGGGTGGTGGGTCTGGTGCCCTTGACATCCAGGCATGTCTATGCTGCCAGACATTGCTGGAATGGCTTTTGGTGTGGGCTCCCAGAGGCTGCTGGTAATGAGACAAGGCTACTATCAGCCAGGGGCTCATTTTCAGAACCCACTAACACAGGTCCAGGGGTTGCCTCACGACAGCTCCGAGTCTTTCTCTAATGTACCTAACGTACCTGTCAGGAGTAGCACTCACCTTGAGGGGAGTGGGGCAAGGTGGGCAGTCAGTATGTTCAGGCCCAGTCCTCCATGGAGGCAGCTTTCTGGTCCCACCTCTGACTTCTTATGAACCTTAAGAGATGAAACCCAAGCATGTCACATCCGCTTCTCTCCCGAGGGTCCAGGGCCTCCCCCTGCTCGTGAGTGGCACCTTGCCTCTGGGGTTACCTTTGCCTGCTGGTGTTTCCCATGAGTTGGTGGCTGGGGTTCCTGAGTGCAGATGGGGCCTGCTATGCTGGGACTTTCGCACACACATGTGCACACAGGGCCACATGGGACTGTGTATATGCACAGACACGTGATCACATACACAGACAATCATACACACCTGTGATCACACGCGTTTAACACACATACACAGGCACAGGTGAGCATGCACACGCACACATGGTCTCTCCAGTCTCACACAAAATCACAAACACGCACAAAATCACATGCATCGTTTCTACAATACACGTGCATTTATATATACATACACAGATGAGGGCGGAGAGGAGTTTATGCACGTATTATGCACACGTACATTCATACGAGACACCACACATATATTATGCACACAGGTACGTAAATGTGTGTGTGCATGGGTATATGCGTGTAATTACTCATGGTCTCCACCCGATAGTGCTTGCCTTGAGACTGCTTGTTGCATGGGCTGATGACCTGCTGACTGGTGTGGGAAGAGCCCTGTGTGGCCGATCCCTGGCTGGTCCTTTGGGGCCCCCTCTCTCACACTTGATCCCTGGGGTACCCTTGTCACTGCCAGGTCTGCATTTCTTTGGAGCCTTTAGCCTCAGCAGATTTTCAGGTCAAGTGAGGACTGAGACCATGGACATGGTCTCTGCCAGAGGGACTTGGAACTCAGCACCAACAGGATACTGGGCATGGCGGGGAGTGTGAGCACCTGTGACCTTGTGGGTGGATACGGTGTCTGGGCTGTGCGGATGTGTACGGGTGGGTGTGGGTTATGTGTCCAGGTATGCATGGATGGCTGCAGGCTGTGTCCAGGTGTATATGAACGTACACAGGGTACATGTCAGGTGTGGGTGTCCAGGTATGCATGGATGGCTGCTGGCTGTGTGGGTGTATATCCTTGTGTGTCTAGGTGTGTGTGGATGACCACAGGGCACATGTCTAGTTGTGTCCAGTGTGTGTGTGTGTGACTGCGGGGTGTGTCCAGGTATGTGTGGATGGCTGCAAGGTGTGCCCAGGTGTGGGGCTAGGTGGTAGTCTGTCCTGCTGCCCATCAGTGGGTACTTCTGTCACTCAGTGGGTCAGGAGGAATAAGGAACTGTGCCTTCTTCTGCCCACAGCCAATGGCCGTAGTGGCCAGTACCATCCTGGGCCTGATACAGAACTTGCGGGCATTTGGTGGGATCCTGGTGGTGAGTTCTTGGGCACTGGTGGTAGGTGTGGGGACCAGACAGCTCAGGTAGACTGGTGCTCTGTGGAGGCCAAGAGGAGGCAGTGCTGGGCCGCTCACTGCTCTGGAGAGGAGGGGCCCTGTGGAGCAGTAGCAGCCCTTGAGGGCAAAGGAGACTGAGGCTGGGAACAAGAAGCCTGAATTGCTCCCCTTCCTTCCAGAGAAGGACCTGGGGGCTGCTGTGCTGGTCTCCTGTACCTCCCCTCTGTGCCAGGGGTCCTTCTGGGAACTGCCCAGTCTCTCATGATTTCTGGGTCAGGAGCCATACTGAGAAACTAAAGAGGAAAATGTAAGAGGCACAAGACTTTGGCTCTGGGGCCCCATGGCCAGGTGGACCTGGGGTCAGGCTTTGGTCACTGTTTCTTTCTTAGAGAACTTCAGGGCTAATGGCCCTGTGTGTCAGGCAAAGCTGTGATACCCCAGCTCTCCTCAGGGGCTGCCCTACCCCCTGGAGAGGGTTCCTGTGACCAGATGGGGCTCTGAACCCTCCTTGGCTGGCACCAGCTGGCAGTGGGTTTGAGGGTAGCAGGAGCGGTGCTCCCAGACCTCCTGGGGGCTTTGGCAATACATCCTAGCCTCTGTGGCCTCCCAGCTCTGGGGGAGCAGCTGTGTGCTTTGATACAGCAGTGCCTACTACTGGGGACAGCAGACAGGTTGGGAAGCCCAGCCTTGGGGCAGAGAGGCCTGGCTTCGGCTCAGCCTGGCTCTGCCAGCTGCAGCCAGCTGACTGGCCTCCCTGCCTCCCAGGTAGTGTACTATGTGTTTGCCATCATCGGAATCAACCTGTTTCGAGGTGTTATCGTGCCTCCTGGAAACAGCAGGTGAGGTGTTAACAGTGCTAGAGGAAGGGCTCTGGGGGCACTGGTGGGCAGAGCCAATATAGACTCACATTCTCAGGACTGTAAGAATCCATCCCAGGATGACCTCTGGGCTCCTTCCTCTCCCTCCCTCTTCCTCCCTCTCTGTCCTGACTACTGTCCACCCCCTGGAGTCCATAGTGGCCTGGAGCTCCAGAAGCCCCCTTTGAGTGGACAGGTATGTCTTCTTTCCTGCTTCATTTCCCAGGGACCTGAGGGGTCCATGTTGGGCCAGGGGCTGAGGCAGTGCTGGGCTCTGCTTACCTGGGTGTGTGGCCCCTGACACTGACCTCGAGTGTTGTGTCCTTAGCCTTGTCCCTGCCAACAGCTCAGCACCCTGTGGAAGCTTCGAGCAGCTGGAGTACTGGGCCAACAATTTTGATGACTTTGCAGTGAGTGCTGTGCCCTGCCTGTGGCCCGTTTCCCGGGGTCTGCCCCCACTCCCTGCCTCCTGGACCCTCCTGGACTCTTGGTCTGCTTCCCTGCAGGCTGCCCTGATCACGCTGTGGAACGTGATGGTGGTGAATAATTGGCAGGTGTTCCTGGATGCATATCGGCGTTACTCGGGCCCGTGAGTCACTTCTTTGCAGATAAGCCCAAGTCTCTGGGCTTCTGTCTCTTGGGGTGCTGGTGTGGGAGGAACAAGTGGCTCGGGGCTTCTGGGGAATTCCATGGGGGTGGAGCCCTGGGGAGGCTGAGTCAGGAGAGGGGTTCAGCCTGGAGCTTGGAGAGTTCAGAGCAGCCCAGTGGAGGGGCCAAGGTTTGAATCCAAATTCCTCCTTGTTGGATGAGCTTCCTGGGGTGCTCAGTGACCGTTTCTGAGCCTTGGTTGGGCTGTGTTTATGGGGACCCTACATTGTGGAGTTAGTGGGCAGGATCTGACAAGCCCTATCACAGATGTGTATCAATAGCGTTCTTATTTCTGGAATGATCTGCTCTACTCATGGTGGGCCTGGGGGGATGGGGTGTGTCCTTATCCTCTGTAGGTGGTCAGAGATCTACTTTGTGCTGTGGTGGCTGGTGTCCTCTGTTATCTGGGTCAACCTGTTTCTGGCGCTGCTTCTGGAGGTACTGGAAGTCCCTTCCCAGATCCACCTCACAGCTCTCATTTATCAGTGTTAGGCTTGGAGCTTTGATGGATGAAGCTGTGAAGCCATGCTGGGTTCACGGCTGGCAGAGAGTGCAGGCTGAGCCAGCCATTCCTGTGTTCAGCACCACTTGTCCTGGCTGCCAGGGCCCCATGGGAGGCCCTGACATCTGACCCATGGGACTCAGGCCCCTGGGCCGAGACTGAGGAGGGACTTGAACACTGTGCTGTGGCAGGAGTGTAGACCTTATTGAGCCCTCACCTGGAACTGGGTGAGCTGTTCAGCCCACAGTGACTTTGGCCACCACTGCAGGGCCGCAGAGGGGGTGGCATTCACTGGTCTTCCTCCCTTTCTGCTCCAGAACTTCCTTCACAAGTGGGATCCCCGCTGTCATGAGCAGCCCCTGGCTGGGACCCGGGAGGCCACCTACCAGATGTCCGTGGGACTCATGTTCAGGTGCGGGGATGGGTGTGAGGATGGCAGCTGAAGGAGGGAGGGCTGGGCAGAGGTAGCCTTTGGTAGTGTCCTGGCCACCTTGTCTCCTGTCGCCTCCTGTGCTGTAGCTGAGCTGGTGAGAGCTCAGAGCTGGGGTGGGGCAGAGCTGTGGGCTTCCCCTGTTCTCAGAGCTAGCACAGTTAAGGGACCTCCTTCAACTTCCTTAGCCTCTGGGTAGTTCTGTCACCTGAGGGAACCTACCATCTCTTTTCTTCTCATGGCCTTATGGAAATTGTTGTCTGTTAGTTCAGTAAAGTGGCTGTCACTCCTCAGGCCACCTGCTATGGCCTCATTTCCCCTTGAGTGTTGGCTGTGTGCTGTGGCCACCTGCATAGTTGTGACAGATCTGGGTCCTGCCTGCCTTTGTACCTATCTCTGGTGGTTTCGGGGACTCCTGTCCTCATAGGCTCGCTCACTGGGGGTCCATCTTTCCTGAGTCTCCGTGTGCTTCCCTAATTATGCAGGGACATCCTGGAAGAGCCCAGGGAGGAGGAGCTGGTGGAGAGACTGCGCCGGCACCCACACTTGCAGCTGTGCAGGTGACGGCCAGGGGCTTCCAGCTGGGCAGTGGAAGGAGATTCTGGCCAGGACCTACACTGGCTGTGGAGGAGGCAGCAGAGGAGGCAGCACTGTGGCCAAGCGGGAAGAGATTGCACTTGTCATAGACCACTCCATGGGCACAGGAGGTTGCAACGAGGAGCCTCCTCCCTGTTGCTGCTCTCCAGGAGCTGCCACACCAGGTCCTTAGCAGGATGGCCGCTGGCACTGCAGGGTGGTGTCTTGTGCCGGGCTGCATTCTGTGAACTGCTTCGGTGAGACTCACTACAGAGATAGGGACTTCTCAGGGACCTGGAAGACGACCTGGGGAGCAAGGAGCAGCCACTTCCCCTCGTGCCCCCAGCTTCCATGTGCCTTTGCTGCTGGCGGCCTTCAGGGACCAGGCCCTGCACGGGGCCTGCACAGGCTAACTGGCAGATTCCTAGGGTGTTGTGGGTGCTTGGGGTTGTCTGTGAAGAGAATTTTGGCCATGTTTTATTGTTTTTTTGCAGTGTATGAGTGATTGGTTGTGGTTCTCTTGTCAGAATGCTAGTCATTTTCACCCATAAGTCTTGCATGGAGTGGCGTTGTTATTTTGACTTCACGCAGATCTGGGTCTGCTTCTCTGGAACGGGGCTGATGGCAAGGTTGTGGGCTGCACAAGGGCCGTTGGCTGTGAGGACTGTCCTGGCGTGCGGCTTTTCAGCCTGTGGTGAGGGGCACCTTTGAGTGCTGTGTATCAGGGTCATTTGTGTATCAGTGGTAGCCCTACTTTGCATGCCCTCAGTGTGTGGTGGAGAGCTGGGTGGGAAGGTAGGGGAAGCGAGCAAGGTGTGGCAGGCCACTCATCACTTCGGTCACCTAGGTCCAGATTGCTCTATGGTTGTCTCATTTCAAGTGCCAGCTCCAGCGGTTGGTGGCATAGTTTCTCCGTGGACCTGTGAGTGATGTCTGCCTGGGGCTCAGGTGTGACTCCACCATAGGCCGCAAGCCCTGCAGACGTCCCCACTCACCTGGAAATGGGATTTGAGGCAAGTGTCACTGGGAAAGGGACTCTAAAATGTCATGAAACCCCGGTACGTGAGTTCTGTGAATGCTGGTAGAGGTGCCATGTTCTTAGCTCCTTGTCGCTTCTGATCCATCCTGCAGCTTCACCGAAATCCTGGGCACTCCCAACACCGTCTGGTTTGGAGCCTTTGGGGGCTGTGAGGACAGTCCTATCTCCTCCTTCTGCAGGCTGCCTCCCTGGAGGCTGATTTGAGTGGGGAGGGCCTTCTGGAGCGTGGTTGGCATCCATAACTCAGCTGACCTTGCTAGGCTGGCACTGGTACCTCTAGGGACCCTCTCTCTCTGCTAAAGGTTGGGTGCCACCTAGTGGTAGATAGGATTTGACTGACCTTTGTAGTATCTGGTGGCCCTGTGATCCCCAGAAGCAGCTGGTGGCCTGCGTCCCCTGTCCAGTGTCCCAAGGTCCCTGAGATGCGAAGCTCCTGTCCACATTTTGGACTGACCTGGTCCTCTTGGGCACTTATCAGATGCCATCCAGCACTGACCCCAGGTCCACCCTGTGTTCTAGTGTCATAGTCTCTGTGCAGAGACAATCCCCCCTTTCTCCCTCCAGATAGCAGGGAACTTTGGATCGCCCTACTGGGCATGGGGAGGCAGCACTGGTCTGGGAGGCTCTGCTGGAGAGAGGGGCACCTGGTGCTGCTGTCTCTGGGGAGCATGTAGTGGGCTAGAGGAGGGTGGCCAGTTGTGCTGGGGTCTTCTGACTGTGAGTTGGGCCTTGTGGATATTTTGGGGACTCCTGGCCCCCAGAGCTAATGGTCCTTCCGCCTGTTTCCCACAGGCTGAATTCAACCAGGCTGTGCTAGTGCCGGGGGCAGGGCCACTGCAGGTCACCAGCTGTAGTCTCCTCGTACTCCTGACCTGCCTAGGCAGTGCCTCCACAGAGCATGGTGGCCACACAGCTGCAGGAGGACAACCTGTGCTGGCATCTCAGGCCCTTGCAGTGGCTCTTTTCTGTGGCCTTATTTTGGTGGCTCTGGCTGGACATGGGTGGAGGGGCTGAGCCCTGCTGGACCCTGGAGTTGCCCAGCACAGTGAGGAGGTGTCACAGCTCCAATGCAGGCCAGAGAAGGAGGTGGGTGCAGGACGTAGCTGTGGCTGAGGAGCCTGGGGCCTGGGAGGGATCTTGTGTCCTTATGGCTGGGGAGCCCTGGCCTGGGGTTAGTGGGAAGCATATATGGAGGCAGCCAGCCTTGGTGGATGTGGGAGGTGGCCTGTTGGGGCAGCAGAGGGGCATGGCATGTGGGGTAGCTGCCCTGGCCTGTACCTGGGCCACCTGAGCTTGGGCTGTACATTCCGAAAAGAAGCAGAACTGTGAGCCAGTGCTATTGGTGGATGGGAGTGCAGGTCGGAGCCTGTGTGGTCAGTGAAGGGACCTGGGCAGGCGCTGAAGCCTCCACCCGCCCAGAGGTCTCAGCTGCTCAGCCAGCTCTTGCAGCCTGGATATGGGAAGGTTCTCACTTCCCACAGTGCCCCCAATCTCCCTGGGAGCCCCTAGCACACCCTGGGCCCTCAGGTCCCACCTCTGTGACTAGGAAGGTGGGGCCCTGGCCACTTCCTTCCATTCTGTGCATCTTGCCTTTGGATGTGCACCTTCTGCCATCTGCTTATTACAGGAAGGCACTCAGGCCTCACTGGCTCCTGCTAGGGAGGGGATGACCCTGAGGATACTGTTGCTGTGACTGAGGCTGGGGAGTAGAACAGGCCCCAGGCAGAGGTCTTGGGTTCAGGCTCCTGCCTATAATAGCAGTGACCATGTAGAGATAATGGCAGACTTGGCACAGAGCTGAGTAACTTTCCCAAGTCCCTGGAGAGCAGGCCGGGGCTCTGGTCCACGCTGTCAGCACAGGTGGGTTTCCAGCAAGTAGGGTGGCCCCTGCAGAGCCCCACCAAGGACCTTGGAAGTAGTGCCCACTGCCACCAATACTTTGTGTTCCATCGGGAGTGTTGTTCTGAGCTGGGGTGGTAGCATGGTTATGTTGTTCTAACCTCCCTGACGGGGTCTCCACCTGCTGGGCTGTGACCATACCCTGTCAAGACACAGTATTCAGAGCATGGTGCCCATGTTGCTGTGGTCTCCTCACAAATCCCAGTCCTTGTTTTTCGCAGGAACATCACAGAGGTGACAACTGTGTTTTGCACATGTTGCGTGACTTTTGTTTACCGATGCTGATGTCCGCTGTCCCCTTGTTAAGGTGGTGATGGCAGCCCCTGCCCTCCATCTGTCCCATCCTCTGTGAGGACCGTGTGGAAGGCTATTAGAAGCCACGGAGATGCCCCGCCCCTCCTCAGACTTGGTCACTTGCTCTTCCCTTCTCTGCCTCTCCCCCTGTCCTTTCTTGCTTTCATCTGTGTCCATCATGATTTGTCATTGTACTCAGTGGGTTGCTATCTCTTACTAAGTTAACTCAATGCCAGGATTGTCCTCATCTGGTAACAGGAGCCTCTCCACCTGGCTTTGGTGACCTTTCACCACGGATCTGCATCCTGTGGTGCTCCTTGACTTCCTGGCATGAGAAGATGGCCGTGCCTCACTTTATGGCCCATGCCCTGTTCCTTTTGGTCTCTGGAAGGGAAGGAGCCGTTCTTCAAGGTGCTCTGTTCCTTTTTTTGTGGGACTGAGGTTTGAACTCAGGGCTTCACACTTGGAAAGCAGGTGCTCTGCTGCTTGAGCCACACCTTCAGTCCGTTTTGCTCTGGTTATTTTGGAGACAGGGTATGGAGAATGAGTTGCCTGGGGTGGCCTTGAACCACGATCCTTCTGATCGCAGCCTAACTAGGGTTATAGGTGTGAGCCACCGGCACCCACTGAGGTCCTGTTCCTTTAAATGGAGAAGAGCAACTGGGACCCAGCACATGGGGCTCCCGCCTAGAGGACAGAGCTGGGGGATGTGCCCCCACCCTTCCTCTCACCCACTAATAGTGCTGAGGGACAGCGGTAACTCCGAGTCCAGCCCGGCACAGGCACCTCTGGATTCTTCTCTTTCTGTAGTTGTGAGGCTCCTTCTCCAGTGGGTCTCACTAAATATGTCTCCTTGGTCAGTTTCACATAAGTACCGTCACTGGTCAGTTAATAGTCACCTCCCCTCGCTGCAGAGCGAGTTACTTTGATAGAGTAAAATATAGAGGTTTAAGCCCTCTTATTTCTAGAGCTACAGGAATTGAACCTAATCCTAAGAACTCAAAATTCTTCATGCTACCATATCACACCCAACTCTAAAGTAAGGTCAGCTAAATTAAGCTATCGGGCCCATACCCCGAAAATGTTGGTTTATATCCTTCCCGTACTAATCAACCCCACTGCCAAATTAATTATCCTATTCACTATAATTATGGGAACAATAATTACAATAATAAGTTCCCACTGGCTAATAATATGAGCAGGCCTAGAAATTAATATGTTAGCATTTGTCCCCCTACTAATCAACAAAGGAAACCCACGATCCCCAGAAGCAGCAACCGAATACTTGACACAAGCCACAGCGTCTGTACTGCTACTAATAGCAATTGTAATCAACATGCTAGACTCAGGCCAGTGATCAGTCACCTGTATACAAAACCCCATCACATCATTCATAGCCCTAACAGCGCTAACGATAAAACTCGGACTAGCCCCGTTTCGTCTATGAGTGCCAGAAGTCACCCAAGGGGCTACCCTCGTATCTGGAATACTACTTCTAACATGACAAAAACTAGCCCCAATCTCCATCCTATATCAACTGACACCATCAATCAACCACCAACTCATTCTATCAGTAGCTCTACTACCAATCGTAGTAGGGGGCTGAGGAGGACTGGACCAAACACAACTACGCAAAGTCATAGCCTACTCATCTATCGCCCATATACGATGAATAATAGCCATCATCTCGTACAATTCCATAGCCTTCATGCTAAACCTGATCATCTATATCCTACTAACTGTTACCATGTTCACAGTAATCAACCATAACACACCAGTACACTAACCCTAGCCCACTCCTGAAACATAGCCCCAGTAGTTACCCTAACACTACTCATCTCACTCTTATCACTTGGAGGACTCCCACCACTAACAGGATTTCTACCAAAATGAATCTTCATTAATGAACTAACAAAAAATGACCTAATTCTAACACCCACAATTATAGCCGTACTAGCCCTACTAAACCTCTACTTCTATATACGATTCATCTACTCAACAACCCTAACCCTATTTCCAACCACAAATACTACAAAAATAAAATGACGCCACCCCAACAGCTCTCAATTCTTTTGCCCCCACTTTTCATTGTTACAACTGTAACCCTACCCCTAACACCTATCATATTTACCCTAAACTAGGAATTTAGGTTAAATAGACCAGGAGCCTTCAAAGCCCTAAGCAAGTTAAATAAACTTAATTCCTGTAATAAGGACTGCGGGATATCACTCTACATCTCACGAACGCAAATCAAGCGCTTTTACTAAGCTAAGTCCTCACTAGATTGATGGGATTCAGACGCACGAAATTTTAGTTAACAGCTAAATACCCTAAAAAACTGGCTTCAATCTACCTCTCCCGCCGTCCAAGAAAAAAAGGCGGGAGAGGCCCCGGCAGAATTGAAGCTGCTCTTCTGAACTTGCAATTCAACGTGATCCATCACCTCGAAGCCTGGTAAAAAGAGGACTCAACCCCTGTCTTTAGATTTACAGTCTAATGCTTGCTCAGCCATTTTACCTCAACCCGCCTCTAAGTCCCCACCTCCACCACTCCCTCCACACCGGGGCAAGGTGAGCCTCTAAAAAGATCACCAGAAGAAAGAATCCTTTACTCATAGTGTGATTGTCCAGCTAGAAAGGCCAGTTATTAAAATACTAAATTCAGCGAAACAGCTTGCTATTATATGACATGAAATCAAATGAATGCTTTTCTAAATATTAGCCACAAACTGAGTTTGAACTTGGGGCCTGCGCTCTCCCTCTTGAGCTGCTCCTCCAGCCCTTTTTGCATTGGTTATTTTGAGATCGGGTCTCGCTTTATGCTTTGCCTGGCCTGGACCACATCCTCCTATTTGTGCTTCCCTGCATAGCTGGGATGACAGGTGTGCTCCACCGCACCCAGCCAGTGGTTGAGATGGGGGTGGGGGGGTCTCAAAAACTTTTTGCTTGAGCAGGCCTTGAACTGTGATCCTCCCAATCTCCACCTTCCCAGTAGCTAGGATTACGGGCTGGCATATAAGCTATACTTTCAACGACACCATTTAAATAAGTGAAACCCTTAAGGTCCCTAAAAATGAACTGAACTAAAGATTTTCAAGGCCTATAAAAGGTGAAAGTCACCGCGGTGGCCTGGAGTCACTGGAAGATGTATTAGTTTCTGGTGCCGAGTATCAGTTTGCCAACTGCTTAGTGCTCCATGGGACCAACTTTCAAGAACTCACAGCTGTGCGTGTTAGACGCCCAGCATGGCTCAGGCTTTCCTGTTCAGGGTCTCACGCAGCCAAGGTCAGGTGGGGCTGCCCTCCTGGAGGCTCTGGGAACCAGTATGCTTCCAAGGCCGTTCAGTTGTGCAAATTCAGTTGCTTGCAGTATGGGCCCAATGTCCCCATGTCTTTGCTGGCTGTCAGCCAGGGCTGCTCTTAGGAACCAAGCTTGCACAGGCTTCGTCTTGACAGTGACAGATCCTGCCTCACCTCCAATGCCCCTCACCCTTGAATCTCTTTAAAAAGAGCTGCGGGACTTTAAAGTGTCACCTGGTGAGGTCTGGCCCACCAGGATGATTGCCCCTTCTTAAAGTCAGCTGTGCCCCTTACCATAACCCAAGCTGGGAGTGATGTCACACCCAGCAGGAGGAGCTTATGCCAGGAGAAAGGAAGGTCACTGGGGCTCATCTTAGAATTTGCCTGCCATCCTGTCTCCTTGGGCAGGACTTGATAGTGTAGAAATGTTAGACTTCCTAAATGAATCTGTAGATTGTCACTTTAGACAGGATGACTTTTCCCGGGAAATTTGACAGGCTGAGGAAGACATTTACATGACAGTTAAGAAGCAACAATTCCGTCCCTTCTGCAGAAGAACTCTCCAGTTGGGGAATAGGGGCTCAGCCTCCCTGGTAATGGGGAACAGCCCCAGGAGGACCGCGTGACAGACACACCACTGCCACCCCATGGTCAGAACCCAGGAAGTGAGATAAGTTGACCGGGTGGTCACAGTGAAATAAAGGAGCTGAGAGGAGGACAGTGTGTGGTCAGCGCTCTGATGACTTGGCTTCAAAGGAGAACAGTTGAGAGGATTCCCTGTGGGTTTTCACATGGGGAACTTGTATGGACTGATGGGGGCGAGGTGGGGGTGAAGTGCTGGCCAGTGGGTGAGGGCAGGGCAGCATGGAGAAGCAGGGTGTGTGCCCAGGGGTCAAGTGCAACTTTGGGCAGACCAGTAATCTTCGTCAGCCCTGAGGCCCAGTGTCACCTATGGAGGAGGCAGGGGTCAGCAGTTCCTCTCCTTGGCTCCCTCCTGCTGGCCATCCCATGTGTGGTGGCTGGATGGGGTCCAGACCTGTGCCCAATCTGTCACTGGGACTGGGGAGCAGGTCTTAGCTGGCTGGGGTAGAGCCTTTCATGTGGTCTCTGCCCCCT